GGAAACAGTGGAGATGTTCCTTTCTCAGAAAGTGCCATCAGATCCGGTGTATTGGGGCTCAGGGCTTCTCCGCAGCCCCTGCTGTCTCAGAACCTCGCCGCAGGTAGGGGGAGCAGTCTGCCCCTCGTAGGCCCTTTGTCTGTAAGAAGTCCATGTGGTACATACATCCTCTGCTCTTGCTTGGTGCCCGTTGAGATTTGCTGCTGCTGGGATCTCTCTGCCTTGTTCTCTTGCTTTCTCTCCCTTGGCTCCTGTGTGAACTGGAGATCTTGGAAGGCCTCGTAGGTATTTTCAAGTCTGTCTTCTGCCAGTTTTGCTGAAAATGATGTTCCTGATTTTTCTTGTTGCTTTTGGATGGTCCCAGGAGGAAACTGGGAGCGTGCTGAGCTCATGCGGCTGAGTTCACACTGGTGGTTTCGTCCCCTCCTCTCCTGCCCCTTACACTTGTCCTCCTCTTCTGGATGCTCAGTGTTTTCTCAGCTTTACTCTAAGTTTGTTACCCAGATTCAGAGCCCCGTGTGATAATGATCTCCCTCTATCGAAAAGTTTTAGTATTACTCTATTACCTTTTATATGTAGATGCATCATCACATCTTTGGATCACTTTGGTAGAGCTTTGCCTCTAGCTAATTTTTTTTTCCCCCACACTGGCCAGCTTTTTCTCCCAGTCTTTTCTTTTTTCTGTTCTTTTCTTTTTTTGAGCAGGAGTGAAGGGTGTTTCCTCATATACTGTCATTTTATCCTAATGGTTTTGTGCTCTTTCTTTTTTCACTGACTCTTGCCTTGGTACCTGCTACCGACTCCTCCCATTCCTGTGACATCCACACATGGATCACATCTGCTCATTCCTCGTCTAAGTTTAATAGAAATATTATACAAGACGTCCTGGAGAAAACCCCATTAGTGATCTAAGTTACGGTGACTTTGTTAGCTGCTGTACTTTGGATATGTTTTTGAACCTGTTACATATTGAAGTCACTTATGTCCTAATTCATAATTTTTCAGTTTTGACCTCGTGGAGACTGTCAAATTATTGGTAAAAGCAAGATACATTTGTCTGTGGTTCGGTGTGCTACTTGATTCAAAAAAAAGAAAGAATATTTCTTAGGGAAGATTTGTTTTTAGCAAACCTATGATACTATTATAACAACAGCACATTAAAAAAAACTGCATAATCTTTTTATTAGAGATAAGAGACAAAAACTTTTCATTTGAGGTTAGAACGTATCCTTTTCTGAAAAACAAAAGACAAAAAAAGGGAGAACTGCAGTTCCCTGTGTGTTCCCGATCTCACCCGTTTGTGAAGATGGCTGTGTGCTCTGCAGACTTCGAACCCGGCCAAGGACTTCACTTAAGAGGGCCGAGTCCCCTTTCCTGCTGCTTGCGTCTCCCTTTCTGTTCTTGAACTGCTGGTAGGATGTTCCAGACTCCCCAGTGTCAGAATTTTTCTGCAGGTATTTAAAACAATAATCCCTTCTCTTTACGATCTGCCCAAGTTTTCAGCCCCGGAGATGCCGTAGTTCCTGTGCTCTGGGTCTCAGCTTCCCGCAGAGAGGGGCGCGCGTGTGGGTGTGCGACCAGCACCTCCTCCCTCTGCTTTTCTTCCACCAAGAGGACACATGCTTACATTCGTCTCTCTTGTTTCTGCAGATCCCATAGTGACCCCAGTTTTAAGAGAGGTGGGTGAAAGTGGAAGAAATTTAAAACAAAGTAAAGCAAGAGAAAAAGTTTTGTCTGACGCCCCAGGCTTCGCACTTTAGACGTGCACCAAGCTCAGCATGGCGGGTGTGTGTGTGTGTGTGTGTGTGTGTGTGTGTGTGT